GAAGTCTGTGAAATGACGTTCACCATCCTTGCCTCCTGGGGACACCCTCGCTGCACTTTCTCCAAGGCATATTTGTTTGTTCTTTTGGCAGTCCATGGGATATGTGGTACTCCTCTCCAGCACCAGTGAAAAGGCATCAATTCTTCTTCTGTCATCCGTAGTCATTGTAAAACCTTCAGACGCATAGCATGTCACTGAAAAGCCCATGGCTTCAATCAACTGCACCTTAGTCTTTAAGCTGACATCATTGCTCCTCAGCACCTTGGAGGGAGAGGTCCTAGACAGTAGATTATCCAAACACAATATGTATTTTGATGTATTGACTACTGATACCAACGGTGTTAATTGTGGATCCAAATAAGATGGCATAATTGACAACTTCAATCTTTTTTTTTCTATAATGATGTTGACTGTTGGCCCAGGAGTGAGGAGATGGACAGTCTTACCCATTAACTGGCAATTAACTGCCTCTGAAAACCCACTGAAGAGTCAGCTACAGATCAGTTCCAACTTGACAGAACATAATAACAACAATGTCGAAATGTAGTCTCTATTGAAAGCTGTAGTCTTTGAATTTCTGCAGCAAAATGCCTGAAGTCTTTCCCCCTTTCAGCAAGCAAGATCACATCATTTACATAATGCAAGTTGTTGATAAGACTTTTTTCAATCCTGATGTCACCTTCTTATTCATAAAGTCCGGCTTCTCCAGTGATTTTTTTTCTGCATACAGATTGAATAGGTATGGAGAAAGGACACAGCCGTGATGCATACCTTTTCCGATTTTAAACTAAGCAATATTCTCTTGCTTTGTTCAGATAATGCCTTCTTGGTCTAAGGATAGTTTTGGCATGATTCAGTGCTCTGGGGTTCCCATTTTTCTCAGTGTTCACCATAAAGTGTTATGATCCACACAGTCAAATGTCTTTGCATAGTAATAAAACACAGTTACCCTCCTTAAATTCTCTGCTATCAGCCAAGAACCATCTGATAGCAGCAGTGTATCCCTGGTGTCACAGCATTTTCTGAATCCAGCTTGAATTTCTGGCAGTTCTCCTCTGACGTATTGTTCTTGTTGTTATTGTTGTTATGTGCCATCGAGTCGTTTCCGACTCGTAGCGACCCTATGCACAACAGCTCTAAACCCTGCTCTATCCTGCGCCAACCGCACCG